CCAGATCTTCAGGCCTCCTTGATGAAATGAGGTCACAGTTTTAGAAGATATCCACTCAGTTGATAAATAGGAATCATACTTTAAAATTGTCTTTGTTGTTGATAACTTACTGCAGACAGTAACTTATTAGACACCTATCCTTTCAGGTGGATGTTTCAAAAGGAACTTACAGAGGAAAGAAAACCTCAATCCTCAAGATGACCCAGTACCTAGAATTTTGAAGACTATGAGAAATTTCCTGTAACCTCTGCCTATGTGGCCAAACCCTGGAAATACATAAGTTCACTGAGTGTACAAATACTATTATTGTCCTGGAAATTGCTGAAATGGATACTGAGAGTCTGTCTTACCAATGTAAACCTACAGTCATAACTGCAATGATTTCTGACAAGAATATACCCCGCAGTTCTCTAGAGTTCAATCTCTTATGTAACAGTATTCTCAATGACCAATCAAAATGGGCCAATGACCTAAAGACTTGTGTCACTGTACTTTTTCTTTGGTAATTTCATGTTATTACTGAAATTAATATTTCTTTATTTTATTAAGTAGAGCTTAAGTATACTTCACAGTTGTTGCTAGTTTTTTTTAAATGTGATTGGGGTATAAATGCATTCATGAATACTTGGACTATTAATGAGAAGCTAAGGGAAAGGAGATTGAAACTGAAGCTGGTAGAAGAGAAATCTTGCTGATCAAGGAGAATTATGCATTGCAGAACCAGTGACTACCACAGCAATAATCAGTGAGTCCTTCTTATATATCAGAGTAGAAGGGAAAAAGAACTTACAGAATTCAGACCAAGAAAATGATTGAACAGGTTCATTGTAAAGGGAGGATGAGCGGGAAGTGTGGTTGGCTACTTTTTATCCTTCTAGATTTTCCCTGCCACCTTTAGGGATACCAGTCACTGCCCTGTCCTAGTCATATTCACCAGTAAATATATAGACAAGCCTGTTTCTTCCTAGAACCAGCAGGAGACCAAAAAGAGGGTACAACCTTTGTCCTTGACCAAGCTGAGACCTGTTCCCACTATCCCCACCACCATCTCTCCTGGATTTCGGGGATCTCTGCTCCCAGCACTCCAGGGCTATACCAGCTAGTCTGGGGGCAGTAGCAGAATTAGAGACATGAGCACCCTATATGCTAGTGGAGGTGTAGCAGCATGCCCACCCTACTCATTCCCTTCCACTCTATTTCCAGGCAGGAACACATCCTTCTCTTCCCCTTATTCTGGAAGAAATTTTCTCAAATGAGAAAATGCTCATGTCTGACACCTCCTCAGTCTCTTTCCCCATCCCGCTCACCCAGCTTTCTTTGCTGAATACAATCTCTCAGCCATCAGCTATAAATAACCTGGCCTGTGCCCTTCCACCGTGTGTGTGAGCTGGTCTAATCATCATCACTATTCCAGCTCCTGTTTGCTTCCCCACTTCCTTCCACAGAGCCCAGCCAACACCACCCAGCATATTCCAACTCCTCCTAGGAGCACACACTGGCAGAAGCAGCAATTAACACTGGTATTTCTGCAAGCTGGAAATTCTTATAATTAAAACTTCTTTTGTAAGATCTCAGGAGTCTAAATAACCCTAAGGGAAGAAGAGCACCATCATCTTATCAGGAAATGTGATCAGTAGAAATAGATAAACTCAGTAACGTAGGCCTAAAGTTTTACTCTAGGGCCCAATTATCAGATATAAATATTTCTGTTGATTAAAACATGATAAGCTTGCTATATTCATGAGGAGCTTTTAGCACATATAGATAGTCTCTAAAAGCAGCAACACTTGCAATCAGCCGTGTAATCAAAAGTTAGTTCTGACGTAATCATTTCCCAAAGCTTAACAAAGACAGGTCTTAGCAGACACAGCAGCCATCCATTAAAGGCAGAAACAATTAGTTTGACAATATAAAGCTCAACACAAGTGCAAAACACTAAATTAAAGGCAATTGAAGAACACCAACTTATGGACAGTAGTCACCAATGTGATATTTATTAGTATTTTAAATCTTAGAAGGCCAAACAAATTTGCAATGTAATTATATCAGCAGCTTTAGAGATGACACCTTGCTAAACCCAGATGAGTCAACTGTCAATCCAACATTATCTCTATCTCTTTCTGAAAAACCAAAAAGCGCTGACATCAGATAGCATTCAGACTTCTGACATAACAATATGTTAAACTTTACTCACCCAGAAAAAGGATAAACATGTTTTATAAATGTGCCAGACCTGTCCATTTTGATAAATGCAAGCTGACAAATTATCCACAGGAAAACAAATATATTAACCTATTCCACATAAGATGGCTCAAATATGTAGCTTTCTACAGTTTCTGAAGAAGCCATAACAGCACAAAAAAGATTTTTTATTTGAAATATATGTATATAGGCTTTCTTCAAAATCAGAAAAAAGAAAGAGTCTACATATCAATTGGGATCAATTCCAATAAACAAAAACTCATGCATTTAGAATGAAAAAAATTACACCACTTTGTAGTCTGTCTTCTCTCTCTCTCTCTCTCTCTCACACACACACACACACACATACATACACAATTCCATTGCCTGCCCCCGAGCACTAAAACATGCATGTACTGGCATTTAAACCATGAAGAACTACCCAGAGGCAAGTAGCTTGTCCATATTAAACATATTCCTTGCTGTTTTCCTACTTCCTTAAACCACCCTCCATGTGATCTATAACAGTGCTGACTTTCTCCATCTCAAAAAGAGCTGATAAACCCCTCCACATAAATGAGAGCTTCTATTGCCCAAGAGATGGGTCGACTCAACTGACTGGTGCCAGGATCTTGTTAGAAAATGCAAACTAAGCTAACTCTCTCCAAAAGACAGTGATCTCATTCCACATAGCTGAGAACTTGTTTAACTGTTACAATGCTATAGTAGGCACATGTCTGAAATGTTCAGCTCAGGGGACCTCCTTAGGCCTCGAAAGGGATCTCTCCTGCTTAGGCTATTCAGTGAAAGAAGCAGAGAGTTGTTAAAGAACACTGCTCTGTTGCAATTCCAAAGTGTCCATAATAAAGAGCATACAGTACATTGCACATAGAAGAGATCAGGGCTCAGACCCAAAAGACAGGAACAATCAAAAAGCGAGTAAAGAAAGGACAAGGACATCCAGCTAATGCAAAAAATGAAATTGTTCAAAGAGAGTAATTCAGACCACTCATCCAACCAGTCAAATTGCTTCTGTAATTCTATGAGTTACAAAAACACAAAAACAAGGTTGCTCGACTTAGTGGTCAACGCAGACCTAATTTCACCGGATAATTAGTTTGACTCAGTGTTTCACCTGCTTGTGAGAGCAGTTTACAGACAGGCAAATGCACTGGGATGGTGTCTCCAGGCTGAGTCTACAGCCATGGAAACTAAAGAAAATAGCATAAATCCCTTCCCCCCAGGGGACCTTCCCAGCTCCTCGCCAAAATATGGCCCATCAAAATCACTGTGTCCATTCACTATTGCTTTATCCGCAGTGATGTGACTTTGAATGCTTACTCATGAGACTCACCTTGATATCAGGGTTGTTTTTAATGTAATAATAGTGATAGTCTCTGCCACTGATGGAGTTCTTGCTGCTTCCCAGGCAGCATGGTATGGCCTTTAGGCATTCATACAACTAATACGTATTAAATGTCGACCAAGTGACAGAACTGTTCTGGGTTTGAGAGCACAATCTGAATGAAACAAAGTCCATGGTGTCTTAGAACTTTCTCTCCAATAAGAGGAGGGAGACAGAAAGGTAAATATAGATTCTATCAAGTGGTGATCAGGGCTATAAAGAAGAAAGGGGGTGAACATGCCAGAGGGTGACAGTGTCATCATGACAAAGACCTCCTGGCACACACTTGTACTCAAACACATTAATATACCGACTCATTGCAATAAGCGAGAACACACACGGTTGGGATTTGGGAATCAAAGTAAGAGAGTGTTTAAAGGACTCATGACAATATGTGGGCTGTGTTAGATGATTTGGGGGAGGATTCGTGAAAGCAGGGTTTTGCTCTGGGCTGGATAGTGTCAGCACGTGGGGGTAATTCTACAATCAGGTATCTTAATAATTCTTACATGAAGGTAGGAAGGATGAAGCAATGCACTCAGTCACTCACAGCAGCCACAAAGGGGACACGTGACCTTATTTGTGGTTTGGACAATATTCTTATTTTTATCTGCTTTTGGACATCAGCATAAAGGGGTTTTGCTTTTGTCTTGATCCATTATGGTCACAGAGTGGCCTTATCTGATGTTGTGATCTGTGAAATTGCTTATGCTCAATAGGAGAATGGCATAGCTGAGATAAGAGTGTCAGGCCAGCTCCCAGCTGTCAGGGGCTGTTTTTCTTTTTCCCATACTCAAACTGCAGGCAACCTTCCAAAATAGGCACTATTACCGTTTCTCTTTTACAAAATGATGAAACTAAGGTCCAGCAAGATAAAGGGCTTATCTTAGAGCAAGCAACTAAGAAAGCCAGGATTCAAACCCAAGTTATCTGACTCCAGAGCCAGCCTCATCAGCACTCCTTACACAGACCCTTACAGTACTGCACCTTTTGAGCTGCTCAGCAAAGCAATTATCTTCAAAAAGACCAAAGTGGCATCTCAGTGGGAGGGTGGATGATGCACACAAAGCCTCAAGTGGAAGCTGCCACCAGTAGGCATCCCAGTACCTAAGTACCAAGAAATTAAGTTCACGTGGTCATTATCAAGACAAACACATTTTTCTCCCAGAGATGAGGAGACATTTTCCATTTTATTTAAATTGGAAGGTTTCTTTTTCCATAAGTTAATCAAAACTAATTTATCTCAGCAACTTATGACCTATAACCATAGCTTTAAATACTGGAACAGTATGTTGTAATAACATAAAAGTAAAGTTCTAGTGTGTAAAGGTGACAGAGTATAAAGCAATTGATACCAATTTTATCCCATATTCTAAAAACACCCTCTCCCATATCATCCAAAGTCAAGGCTTACCAAAAGGTTTTCCGGCTTGAGGTCCCGGTGGACAATGCTCTTGTCGTGCATGTGGACGAGGGCCTTGCATAAGTCCATGATCATGAGGGCCGCATCAGGCTCCGGGAACTTCACACTTTCTATGATGGCGTCAAAAAGGTCTCCTCCCTGCACGTACTCCAGGATCAGGTAGATTTCCGTGTCTGTTTCATAGACTTCATGCAATTTCACGATGTTGGGGTGAGAGAGGCTCTGGATGATCAAGATCTCACTGTCCACCATGTCCTCCTTGCCCTTGAGTCTGGACTTGTCAATGATCTTCATCGCATAGGCCTGCCTGGTCTCGCGGTGCCTGCACTCCTTCACGACAGCAAAGTTCCCGTCCCCAATGACGCGGCCAGTTTCATAATGCTTCTCCACATTGGCGGCAATGATGCCCATGGGTCGCGGCTTCCGACCGCTGGGCCGCTCTGGCTTGTTCTCTTCTGGCCTCGTCTTGGGCTCCTTTTCTAGCTTTGCAGGTTGGTCATCTCTGAGAGTTGTCTTTCTGCCTCCAGACATACATGGCTTTTTCTCCTTCTCTGCCTCCTTCTCTTCTCCTCGGGTCCTGGGGAGCTTCTCAAAGCCCGCCTGATGCTCTCTCAGGAGCCAGCCACCATGCTTGCTCCTGCTCATGGGCCTGGTGTCTTTCTTCACCTCCCTCAGCCCTTCCTCTGTGACAGGAAGAACTTCCGCAAGTTCCTTCTTGGACTTGGCTGCTCCCTGAGCATGGCTTTCTTGATCCTCTGGGCCTCTGTCCTCTTTCTTGTCCGTGCTCTTGCTGGGTCTCCTCAGCTCTTGAGTGGGATTCCTGGTGCTGCTCCTGTGGCTGTCACCCTTCCACCCTTCCTCCCCACCTGCAGGATTTGCCTCGGGAGACCTCCTGCAGCTTCTGGTCCTCACCAGCTTCTCCACCTCATACATTGGGCCCTTCCCCATATCCAGCTCACTGGTCCCCAGAGAAAGCCTCTCGCGCTCCAGGCTCTGCTGAAGCTCCCTCTCTCTCTTGCACTTCTCACATCTGATAATTTCACCCGAGGTCTTTTCAATCTCCACCCCGAGATGCTTCTCTCCCCTTGCGTGCCTCTCTTCTAGAGTGGCTTCCCTGGGCAGCTTGCTACTGGGTTCCGGCTCCCGTTTCCCCCTCCCCCACTTCTTCTGGGTCCTTGCTCTGTCATCTAGTGAAAGCTCTTCGGGGATCTTCCCCTGGTGCCTCATGGCTGCCTTGCATCCTGCAACCTCGCTGCAGCTTTTGGGGGTCTCGGTCTCCCCACAGCGGTGGTCTCCTTTCAGAGCCTTGCTAAACAGCCTGCTCCTCAGCCTTGGAGAAGGGATACGGCTGTGCTGGGCCAGTGTCAGGGCCCGGGCTTTGTTGGGGTACAATTCTTCTACAGCCACCTGAATGCTCTTCAGTGTCAGTGGTTCTTTGCCCATAGCTATGAAAGCATCCCCTTCCCTGAAGAAATCAGAGACGCTCCTGATTTCCCTGCCCTTGAGGTTAAACAGTTTCCTCACACGGTCATTCTTCCATCTGGGAGAGCCCAGGGCTTCTGAGATGTCAGCTAACAGCTGCTCGAATGTCTGCACTGATCGCCTGTTGAGGAGCAGGGTGATCTTTCGGGGGCGCTGCCCACCCAGCTTCACCACGGTCACGACCCTGGGCTTCAGCGGGCTGTTCTCAGGATGTGCCGAGTGAAGGCCATTCCGAGGGCAGAACAAGGGCACGACGGGGCCACGCGGCCCCAGGAATGGTTTCTCCAGATTCCCTCGGCTGGCAGGCAGCCAGGAGCCTTGCAGCTTCCGCTCTGTGATTCTCGAGCTTAAATATTTTAGAGAATGGTCACATAGGCCTTGCTGTCCTGCAACAGGAAAAGGACAACAGAGTGTTAGTTAAGATGGGTTCAGAGAGCCCTCAGCCTTCACCGAAACTTTATTAAAGATGACTGATTCTAGTATTACAGTTTATAAGTGTGGTTCCCGAGAGTCTTAGAAATGACGGAGCCTTTATACTTAGGTCTAATTCCCAGTCTCCGCTACACCAAGAGTGCAGAACAGAGTCAGCGTCGGGCCTGCAGTGATTCCTGTAGGCCTCATAGAGGCCCCCAGGATGGGCCACACCTCGGGAGCTGATACAGTTTGGCTCTATGTCCCCACCCAAATCTCATCTTGAATTGTACTCCCATAATTCCCATATATTGTGGGAGAGACCCGATGGGAGACAATTGACTCATGGGGGCAGTTTCCCCCATACTGTTCTCATGGTAGTGAATAAGTCTCAGGAGATCTGATGGTTACATCAGGGGTTTCTGCTTTTGCGTCTTCCTCATTCTCTCTTTGCCTGCTGCCATCCATGTAAGGTGGGACTTGCCCTTCCTTGCCTTCCGCCATGATTGTGAGGCTTCCCCAGCCATGTGGAACTAACTGTGAGTCCAAGAAAACCTTTCTCTGTAAATTGCCCAGTCTCAGGTATGTCTTTATCAGCAGCATGAAAACGGGCTAATACAGGAGCCCTCTCAAGGTGAGGGCTGACTCTGTAAACACAACTCCAGCTACCCCAAAGTGAACTGACCTTCAAGGATCTACAACAGAGATAAAAAGGGCCAGTTGTGCTGCCCATGAAACACCAACAAGAGGAACATTCTAGAACTTTGAAAGGCCAGGTTTGCTGCCCATGAAATACCAACAAGAGGCAGGAACATTCCAGAACTTTGAAAAACCCAATCTTACCCATCTCCGTGCCAAGAACAGTTTTTTTTCAGCTTGATTTTGAACTCACTCAAGGTTGAGTAGTATGCGAAGAGGTTATGGTCACAGGGTTTAAGACAGATCTGGATTTTAATCCCGGCACGGACACAGACTACTTGTGCGAACTTGGGCAAATTATTTGTATTTCAATTTTTTTTTTCATTTATAAAGTAAGAATGCTACACCTCTCTCCCAGGGTTTTTGTGAAGAATAAATGATCAAATTACAACTTACCTAAGAGAGTGTCTGACACATGGTAAGGACACAATAGTTGCTAGTTATTAACACCATCCTTATGATTTTAATATCTATTTTATATTATAATTTCACTTTATTAGTAGTATAATCTATCAATAAGGTAGAAGTCTACTGTGCACAGCTTCACCTGGCATCACAAGAACTCATGGGCCAACATGATATGGTAGTTATTTCTTAAAGCTCTGACTGAGATCCACTTGCATTAGAGTTAGTATAGGAAAATTGAAGGAGGTTTCAATCTAGGTGTAAAAATTTCCTTGTCCAGATGGCTTTCCCTCTTCTTATAAAAAAAGTAAAGAAACCAAGGTTCAGAGCTTAAATAATGAGAATGTACATGAATAAAACAAGACTTTTGTATTTCCTGATTGACTATGCCCAGCCAGAGTAAAGCAGCTGAGGCAGGAGTGGTTTAATTTCCTCAGTTTCTATCCAGGTCAGGAAGAGAAATTGGAAAAGAACAGAATGTGTCACTCAGTTGAGCCACAAGGGTGGGATGACAATTATTAAAGTTACCCTACAGGACCTATATGTCATATCCTACATGGAAGAATCTGCTGTTTATGCTTTCTTTAAAAAGAAATTTAAGATAATCATTTATAAGTGTACTTGAATCAACTGTAGCAGAAACTCCAGTTGTGCCAGGATGGGATTTTGGCCCAGCAAATCTACACAGAATGTTTTTTGTTTTTTAATTATAATGTACAATCTGTTCTGAGATGATTTCCATCTAGATGCAGGTGTCAGATGAGATGACAAGGTAGCGGCTGATACTGATCTTCCCACACGCCACAAATTTATGAGCTTAACAATCACATTTATAGTTAAACTGTATATGGACATCTGTTATCCCCTTTCTTCTCACAGCCTCTTTAATTAATCTGCCTCCATTTTTGTCTGAGATAGCCGATGTTGAGAGAAAGAAAGAGAGCTACAGAAGGAATACTAGCTTGTATTTCCTGCATTGGGGAACCGAGGAAGGGTGTCAAGGAAGGTGACCGTCAAACTCATGTGCACAAAAGGGCTGGTGTTCTTGTTGGTTTTTCTTATGTGCTTCACACACAGTAGGATCCTTGATACATACTGTCAGACTAAGTAAATGAAGTCCTGATTATTTTCTCAGAAGACTCAGTATAGGGACAGAGAAAGAGATTTTAGCCTATATCCTGGACAGAGCTTTTTCCAAGCAGATGTGGGAAAAGCATAGGGAGGCCCAAAGGATCAACTACTGGCTGTGGTCACAAGAGGGCAGACCTACCAGGAAAACCTAGAGGCATAAAGAGGATGTAATGAAATCCAATGAAGTACCAGGAGAATGAGCAACCAAGAGTGCTAGGAAGAGAAGATTTGAGTTGGGCTTTCAACACCTGAAGAGGTGGAGGCCACCCAGTACATAGCAAAGGAACCAAGACATAGGGCTGGACCAGTTGTCCACATGGCCACTGAGGTCAGTACAGATGAAGGTAAGACTCAACATGGAGATGAAGACACTGGTAACATGGAGAAATGAATGGCCAGCCACTATACGACAGTGGCAAAGCAAGGGTGTATATTGTATCACCGGATGATATAAGCCTCAGCTAAGGAAAGGTGTTATAGGAGGGAAGAAAAGTAATAGTTTTGAAGCAGACCTGGGGAGCTAAATTCTGAGCTCTACCTTCAAAATCTATAGTCCCTGGAAAGGAAGAATTATCCATTGCAGGGAAGAAATAGGAGAGGGATCCTCAGGGGAGAACCAATAGGACAAAGGAACATTCAGTTAATACCTTAAGGATGTTTGAACATTTAGCATAGAATGGGGTTCAGGAGAGCCCCTGAACCCTCCTAAAAGGTCCAAGATGGGATGTCAGGGAGGCATAAAGCAGTGCTCATGGAACAGGACTGACAGTAATGGGCTTTATGTATTGAGTGTTGACATAGAGTGACAAAGAGGCCAAATTACAATAGGACCAGTAGGCTCAAGTTCCCAAACATTGGAATTACAGAGTCTGAGTGTGGTAATGGATGACTTGGCACAATGGTACCCAGAGCTGGGTAGGGAGAAGAGGGGATGTGCTCTCTGGGATTTCTGTGCTCAGTCAATCTCAGCAGACCGTAACTCAAAGCTTGCCCTGATCCCTAGTGGTTAAGAGAGCAACCTGGGAACACCCCATCCCTGAACAAAGAATGGGCTCCATAAGAGCAGCCTCCACCCCAGGGCATGTTGCAAAAGGATGTAAAGAGAGAACAGCTCAGCCTCCACCACACCAGCATCAGATATGCTCATTCCACTGCCCAGGCATTCACAAGCTCATTCAAAAGCTCCTTGGTCTGCAGCAAAAGTGGGAATTCGGTCTCCACCTCCTTAGCGTAACTGGGACCTACTGAAATTGCACTTCTTCTAGCTATGACTGCTCAAGCTACTGGGAAGCACCAGGAAAATACAACCTTGGGATGCACTGGTTTTTATCTTCTCTTCCACAAGACCTCTTTCCTCTTTTAAAATAGTCTTTACAGGTAAGAGAGAAAAAGAAGAAGACTTTGAATGCCTGGTCCATGGGCAAGGAGAACGAACATTAGGGAGAGCACAGCATATCCTTTAGGCCTGGGGCTGTCTCCAGGAACGTGCTCATGCCCCAGGACAACTGCACAGAGTACTTTCAGTCTCCCACTAAGCGCCACTGTCCAGAACCTACCCCACTCAACCTTACTAGAAAGCCACAGGCCTGCCCGAGTCCACTCAGCTCCAGCGATACCTTTACTTACAAAATCAGTAAAATGGAACCATACGAAATTGCTGGTAGTTCTACCAATTTTGAACCATCAAAAACAAATTTCATGTGGCTCACCCTCATACCAGTTGAGCATCCGAAAACCAAACATAGAAAATCTAAAATGCTCCAAAGCCTGCAAACTTTTTGAGCACTGACATACCTACCAAAGGAAATGATCATTGGAGCATTTCAGACTTCAGATTTTCAGATCTGGGATGCTCAACTGGTAAGTATAATGCAAATATTTCAAGATCAAAAACAAAAAAAAACAAAACAAAAAACTCCTTGAAATAAAAAAAAATAAAAAAATAAAAAACCACTTTTGGTCCCAAGCATTTTAGATAAGGGAAACTCACTCGACCTGTATAATCTAGGATAACAATCTGTATTCTGTCCCTATATCAACAGTAAATTGTTTATGAAGCCATAGATAGTAAAAATTAAACATGCTAATTCTGTCTTCAGCCACCAAGCCAGCCACGTCCCAGGAAGTAACACAGGGAAAATATGTTCTTATTAACACCTTATTTTTCTGTTAACTTCCTACGGCAACATAAATTGGCCTGGACTTGACAAAACTGCTGCTTCTACTTCAATACACCAAGATATAAATGTTTATAGGGTCTCTCCTCAATGCCCGTCTAACCCCACACATACAGAAGAGCAAGCACTGCTTTTGATAAGCCATCCATCTGCTCAATAACCTACAGTAGCTCCTTATTAGCCTCCTTGAGGTCCAAACCCAAATTCCTCTGCTTGACACATAAGGCCTTTCACAATTCCAACCCACTCCACCTCCATTCCCCCACCCATCCAAGCCTCACCATCTTGTAAAGCCTAAGACCCATCTCTACTCCCAAACTTTCTCTGTCCTCATAAGTTCGCAGTGATAGCTCCCTCCTCTGAAGACCTGCTCATTCATTAAGGCAAAATTTAGCATGAATGCCTGAGACCAACACCTACCACAGAATATGGAAGATGTGGTTTTGCCTGCTGCACATCTCAGCTAATTGTTACTTCATCTTAGTAGGTGTAAACATTCTCCCTCTCAACTAAACTGTAGGCTCTCCAAAAGCAGAGACCAGGGTTTATGCAAACCTCCCAACTCTGCCCCAATACAGAGAGCAAGCACACAAGATTTGGGGAACAAATTCCCAACCCTGACATCAAACACAAATATCTAGCTTCAGTCTTCCAGTTCTCACTGTAAATAACAGCATTGCTAATTGCAGCACCAGTAACGTCACACAAAAGACCTCCTAAATACATTAGATAAGTGAGGTGAAAAGAAAATATAATCACAAACATCCATCTACCACAGGAAATTTGACAAAGTAGCATTTCTGAAGAATGGCTAATACAGGTAGGGGACAGCAGTACATTGCTTCAGGTTGAGAAAGCTTCAGAACACTGACCATGGGCCAGAGGACTTCTGACAAGCTGTTATTAGCTGTGTGACCATGGGAACGTTAATTAATCCCTATGAACCTCAGTTTCACCACCTGCCAAATGGCATTAATGTCTTACTCATTGCTGAGGATGTCCAGTGCATTGCTCTGCCTAGAGTGAGCACTCAACTTGTGCTTATTTTTCACCTGTTCATAAAGAAAATAAGTCCTGTAACCTTGAATTTCCTCCAAGTAGATGTACATCTCAAGGCCAAAGAGAATACGATGTTAAATGTGACTCGGCAGGATGAATTTGTCATTCACATAGTGGCTGAAATGAAAAACCAGTAGGGATGGGATAATAAAAGAAACACTCCAGCAAATCTAAGCAAACAGGTCTGCTGGGGAGATAAACAGAATTTCTGCTCATCGATCCTAGGATGCTCTGATTCTGGGGTGAGCCAATAAACTCAGTAACTGCACCAGCATGGC